AAATGAAGAAATCTCTCCCTTACCTTCTCAGGAAACAAAAACACGTAGAGGCCTTTTTCCTGCACTATGAAGCGAGCACAGGCTGTACCCAATAACCGCAATTCCTCTAAAAGGGGTATTTTGTGTTGCTCTCAATAAGCTTCGCACTGTAAATCACTTTCAGTTCATTCAGCCTAGAAAGGTTCCCCTGAGATGAAAAGTTTTAAAAAATGAACGGAAAATGAAAAAGTTCCCTTTTACTTCACTGAGGTTGATTAAATATTTAAAGCCATCTTAGGAGTTGTAAAAGTGTAAAACTAGATGAGTTAAACTGATTAAACTTGAGAAAATGAGTTCAGTAAACTCAAGGCGTTACGTTGAATCAACAAGTCAAGCAGATGATGATCACTGCTTTCCTTTAAACTTTCTGAGTTTTAACATCGAGAACTTACAGCCCCAACAGTTAAAGCCATTTCTGATCTGAATTAGAACGAAAACATCGGTGAGGTTGCTGCTGAATTTTAATGATACAGGTGTAGGGACTAAATTCAGGACTGATTTGTTATGAAAAGAAACAACTACACTCTAGAAGGTAATGCCTTTGCTTACTTGAATCACATTAGTGTACTTTACTTATTTCTCATTTAACTCATGAACTGTGAGTATGGACTCATTTTTCCTTAAAGAGTTAAAAAACTAAGTACACTTGAGTAAACTAGACTTGAAAAATTCTGTTCCTGGTTTGAACACAGAGGTCAGCAGTGCACATGTGCAGTAGAGAGCTGCAGGAGAAGTTTATGGGGTGACTGTGGCTCAGGTGGTAGAGTGGTGATCAGTGATTGGAAGGTTGGTGGTTTGATTCCGCCCTGTAACCAGTGGCATGGTTGTTATACCATTGGGCCCACCTTGCCTGGTGTGAATGCATATGAATGGATTATGTGAGGTGGGGGTTGGAGGGGCAGCTGTGGCTACAATGGTAGCTCACTGAAATGAATGTGTGTGAATGAATAATTGGCAGAGGAAAATGTTTTTGAGTGTCTAGAAAAGCGCTATCTAAATCTGATTGGTTATTTCTAAGTTTCTAACCCTAGTTTTAAGGTCACAAAATTAAGTAAATACAGCTACATTTTAAGTAAACTTTACAAGTAGATGTGAAGTAAACTGAATTTAAGACTAATGGTTATATTTACTTACCTCTTTTGAGTGCAACCTGTTTCCTAGATTTGTTTAAGTAAAAGTTCAACTTTTCAAATTTTACAGTGTAGAATTTAATACGGATTAAAGACACATAGCAAGTTTCCACCGTGTCTGTTTTCCCAAACGATTTAAAGAAACTGGGGAGATTACACTCCTTCACAATGCATCATGGGAAGTCTGCTTATATGCTCGTTTATTTTTGATAAACTTGTTTTAGGTCAAAATGTCTCATGTTATACAAACTCTTGAAAATAAAAAATTGACCATTTTAGGTTGAATTAACTAGAGATTACCATTTCTGTATTATTTAAACTAGAAAAGATGAGTTGATTTGACAAGATCCCGTTGTGATGTTTTACAGTGCACTGGTATCTTTTTATGGCAACACTACAAAATGTTTGCAGCATGCCTGGAAGGAGGTTTACCCCTGCAGAGTTGTGCACCGTTTGAAAGCAGGTTCAAGAGAATATTAAGGGAGGCCTTCGACTGCAACTTGGTGTTATCTGCAGCAGCTCCTTCTCTGATCTGTTCGGTCAAATTTACTAAAAGAACGCATTTAAAAATGGCAGCTGATGACCTCTTTTACAGAGAAATGCAAAATACAACTAAAAATAAGCAACAATTAAAACATAAATGGGTAACTGTTTTATGCATAATTAAAGAGACACATTGTGAGTCACACACATATGAGGTGAAAACGTGCAATATGTGGATTAATGATTAATTTCACTATCACTATCGCAACATCTGTCTGCACCTTCACACTTTCTTACTCCCCCATAGGCTCTATATTCTTCATGGAACCTTCTGGATCGTTATCCTTCCCAATCAGAGAAGCAGGTCCCTGATTATCCACCTGACTTCCCACCTGCCCCTTGTTAAGCCCATCAAGTCCAAATGCATAAAGCAGCCACTTGCCTGCTCCTTGTTCCCAGACCTTCTGTGCTGTTGGTTCCAAACACATTGCATATGTTCAGCCTATTCATTGATCACAGCTCTGTGTGTGTATTTGATTCCTCTTTTCCTGAATAGCAACAAGGCACAAATAATAATGGCAGACCAGTGAAATAACTTGCCCAACGCCTCCCTTTTATTTGAGTTTTGTGGAGAGAACGCCTGGCTATGTCAAACTTGCTTAGTACATCTATTAGATCAGTGATCCTCTGTTTCTGATTGTAGCGTGAATTATTTAAAACCCTGTTCAGTTAATTGCCCAATAAAAAGTGTACACCTGGTTTAGGCTGACTATCAAGTCTTTCAAAAAGTCTGCACAGTTAAATGCTGTGAACTAATCTTAGAGCTCCATCCCCCCCCTTTTTGTACATTGAAGTTTGTCGTCTACGAGCAGAGAATTCGATTCGGCTGCTTTTGCTTTTTTTTTAAAAAGCACAACGATGCCTGCTTCTACCTGATACACAATACAGCTGTCAGACTGATGGAGTGCTGCAGCCATAAGACTATAAAAAATCCGCGTCTCTGGTTCAATGTTTCACTTGTCTAAATGTCATATAGCTGCGAAGAAGAGCTGGAACAGAACATGCGATGCTGTCGGGTTGGAATGAGATTATTTTTTCCAGCTATATAATGCTCCTGAAGGAGGGCAGGAGATGCAGTGCATCACATTACAGAAGCAATATGCTCTCAAAATGCCATTTCACTGTGAGGGTAACCGGCCCGGGCAGGCTGGGTGTACACTATCTCACCGATAAGACACATGACTGCTCGCATACATAGCATGAGCGACTGATTGTGGAGCTCAGGACATTCTGTCTCACCACCAGACCACCTTGTGTTGATGTCAACCCACCCTCCCTCTCCCAATCCCAGTAAATACAAAATTAATGGCATCAATCACGCATCCTGATCAGGCCAAGCTGCAAACATTGTAATCTGCTTTTTTTTCTTTGCAGACTAATTCTCATTTTTCTTTTCCTTTGGGTTATTTCATGAGTGAAATGAACTGGCACTGCTGTGAGCCAAAACAGTAATTATTTACTGTCAGGCTTCGCTACTTCCATCCTACAACTTGTAGGAATGTGTTTTTCTTCTTCTAAAAGAAGTGTCACTCGGTAAGCAGCAGGCAATAAAGGGAAGAAGTTTAGTCTTGTTTCTTTGGTTTAAGTTTAGTGAAGGCATTTTTTTTTATTACTTATTTCATTATCAAGCATAAATTAACTTCTATATATACCGTCAAAACATGAGCTACAAATCTCCTCTGTCTACATTATACACCTTAAAGGTTAGACAATGTAAGTTTGGTCTCTTAGTAACAGTTGAGACAGGTGTTTTGCTCAAATAGGTCGTGTATGACTTACATTTCTACGCATAAAAACAGTTTTCACACTGAAGTTTTTCCACCTTGTGCAGAAAAACCCATAATATTAGAATTTTCTGCCATTCTTATCGTCTAGGTTACCAGATAAAATGTGTTAAAGTTTGAAAAATGGAAATTTGAACAAGGATTTTAAATCTCCAGCCTAATTATTTCGAGAGATTTTTCAAAGCTGAACACATGCTGTTACTACAATTTTTTGCAACTGTGTGCTGCCACCAAGTGGCACCAACCATGAAGTGCAACGTCACCGATGTGCCCCCTGAGCAACAACTAACACTGACCCTGTAGGTTTTTGGCACATCAAGCCACAACTGAATGTGTTTGTCATCTCGCTGAGGTTCAAGACTCCGGCGTCATGACCTTTTTGTGTTTAACAATCCCCGTCGATGCAGCGTTGACATGAATGCACTCTGGATATCCCATCATATCTGGAGCATTTGCTCTATACGAAGGTCACTCTCATCATCGGTGCCTATTTTTAGGTTCCGGGTCCATATCAAGACCTGGGTTGCTTTTCATTATCAGCTTGCTAAGGCTTAGTCCAAGGGCACAAGAGGTTATATAACAGCTTTTAAACATGGACCCAAATCTCAGCATGACACGCGTATTTCATTCTGCAGGAGCGGACTGACGACAGGAAAAACCGAGAAGGACGTCTGACATTTCATAATCCAGATTTCACACAATCACCGGGCATTGTTGTCCTGCATATCCAGCGCATATGTCAGTGGACTTTGACGTGCCGGAGAGACGCGCATCAGCTGTTTAAACACAGATTTTTTCCATAAGCGTCCAATAAACCCGCTGAAGTCTGCTTTCAGAGATCTTGAAGCTATTGTTGGTGTTACTGTCATACTTCAAATAACAATGGCTGGGCGTCAACCCGACAGCACGCACACACAGATGGAGCGCAGGAATGCGTGCAATGTGTAGTCGGTGGTTTTTTGTGGTGTGCAGCTCGAGTTTTGCTTTCCAAGAGTCATGGAGGACGACGTCACGGCTAAAAATACTCGGTCCAGGTGTTCCGAAGTCTAAACTCAGCTGGGTAATGATGCCTCATGTGGTTTTATTTCTACCATCAAGCTGCTTTTAGATGCAACTTACCAAGAGGATTCTCTATTAAACTGATTGAAAAGCTGGGGCCAATTTTCTATTCTATTATCCAAAATACCCAAAGCTGTATGTTCACCACAAACATCCTTCAAATCTCAGTATCATTGTTGCTTCATTGGTGAATATGGTCACTCATTTGTAGGGATACGTCTACCAGATCTATTTAAACCTTATGAAGTTGAGTGTACGTAGGTAACAGCTGTTGTTCCCCCTCCTCCGCCCTCCCCCCTGACTTTTCATCTTTCTTTTTTAATCCATCATCGGCTAAGCTGCTTCCCGTCCTCGTACGTGCTTCACATAAACCAACGGGTGCCAATAAAATGAAACTTGATAAAGCCAAGTACGGATATGGAACATCAGAGACTGAGGCAGCAGGTTTATTCATATCCACTTTAATTGTCATAAGGTGTCATAACAAAACAAAATATTCCATGGCAATACAAAAAAAAAAAAAAACACAATAGGTATCTACTCATCCTTCACTTTAAGTGCTCTGAGTCATTCCACTGAAAATGGCTATCAAGCAAATGGCAGTACAGCTGACGGAGGGGGGGGGTTTATACGTGCTTTTGCCTCTTGCCAAAATTCTAACCGTTTTCAAGTCAATTAGCCTTCAGATTCCATTTTTCTTTTTAGACAACACACTGGTTGCAGCGTCTCACTGAGCTCCGCCGCCTGTGTCGAACATCTTCTTGCGGCCCTCCATGCCGGACATGGCCTCCACGTTCTTACGCCAGTCGCCCACTTCAGAGGTGAGCACCTGGGAATGAAGAGAATTAAGTACAAATGTAAATACAGGGAGATGTTTAGATGTGTCTTTCCTCAATCCTACACAACACGGGGAAACGTCAGAGGGTTTGGAGATACCTTGTCCTGTTTGACGTCCTCCTTCTTCACAGACTTGAGGTTGGCCCTCAGGTCCATGGAGCCCTTGTGTTTGGAGCCCAGCAGAGCTCTCATCATCTCGTCTGCTGACACTCTCACCTTCCTCAGGGCAGGCTTTTTGAACTTGCCCCCGAGATCCTGTACCTTAAGTTTCAGCTCATGGATCTAAAATAATGTGACGCAAACAGGAAATTGTGCCTTTAAAACACATTTAAACACATAAATATACTAATATTGCAGCAATAATGCATCTTCTCCGGCACAGTATGTTCTGTTTTGAGCTACAATTGTTGTGGTTAATGAAGGTTTTAATCTCTGGTTTCTTAAATAAACCAGTTTTTTCAATTTTAGAGGGTACAATATGTGCTGAATTTAAGAGACACTTACGTCTTTGTTGTGTTTGCCCACTTTGCTCTCACAGTCGTATCTCTCCTCGTCCACAATGTCAATTTTTCCGTGAAGCTCCTTGCACAAAGTCTAAACAAAAAAAGGCATTTCACTCATATTAGTTACAGAAGATCATAGATTTTCTGCACAAAAGCTGCCCTTCTGTGGTTTATAATTCTTACTTGTAGGTCTGCCAGTGACATTCCAGACAGCTGCAGTGGAGGCAGCTTCTCTCCCAGATATCGCACTTTCTCCTCTTCCCTGTCCTGCCTCTCCTTCTCCAGATCCTCACAGGCTCTCGTGAGGAGGAGCATCTGATTGGACACAGTGGAGTTCAATGCACAAGAAAACTCTTCTGCAGACTCCCAACATGCAATATACTGAATTGGTGTCAATATACAAGATGGCAGGAAGATTTCTTTTTTATATATAACATATTTGGTACTACAGACCAGTAGATTTTGACAGGATTTTATAGTTCTACATGAAACCAAAGAGGACTACTGTTGAAGGTATGCATGTAAAAAGACTGCAGTGTCATTTTAACGTTTTGATGGGGGGAAAAAAGTCCTATCTTCATATTAATACTGAGCTGCAAAACTAGGTAGTCGCCAAATCAACCTAAATGCTGCAGTTTCATTATATAAATCCAATTTAAAATCGTTTGAAATGAGCCGTTTTGCAACAGTGGGCTCCTGAGTACATCTGACAGGGCTGTGGGAGTGTGTCAAACTAAAAAAAGACCAAAAAAAAAGTACATAATAACAACTCACTTTGAGGGAGAGCTTGCGAGAAGCCGAAATCTTCGACTTCGGCTGTGGAGAAAGGTATTTGTCAATACAATTACACAATAGAATGTATTTCAGTGATCATGAATCAAGTAGATCCTTGGATTACTTAAAGCTATGGAAAGAGCTGTATAGCTTGCACTACAGCTGCATCTTTCAAAAGGTTTCTTCAGGAATTTTATACTCTCGTGTGTCCATGTTTAGCCAAACCAGCACCTCCATATACAGTGAACTTGTATGGAAAGACCAGTGTCACACTCTACACCACTCACTGCAGCTGCATGTGCAAAGATAATACTTTATTATTAGGATGGAGTCAAGGGGAAAGCTCTCGGGGATGCTGATAACAATTCTGAGAGATAACCACTGCCAGATCTTTGCCATGTGCATAAGGACAATGTGTCCCCGCTCCATGCATGCAGGATTAGCACTGTGGAATATAGCTGGCTCACCTTATCCCCTTTGGGATTCATGGTTCTGGGTATGTGGAGCTCCTGAAACAGGGACAAATGATGGTGATGATGCTGTCGGGAATCACAGTTAGGTTTACGAGACAATATATATCTATTTTTTTATATTTATCTAGAAGTGATTACAACTTTCTCTGAATCAACAGTTAGATAAATATGAAATGAAGCAATCAAGGAAAGAGGAGAACAGGAATTCTCTTACCTCACTTCAACTATAATTGTGCAAAAACAAACATGAGAGAGAGACAGAGGGGTGTGTTAGTAAAGTTTTGGGATAAAATGTCGTGTCAGAATGTAATTGGAGCCATCGAGGCTTCACATAGCACACAGTCCTCAACATCCTTTGACAAGAGGATTAAAGCAAGGACAGGACAAGAGCAATTTTCCTCCACTATATTCAGCATCATTGTTTTGTTTGTCTTTGTAGTATAACTAATAACATCTCAACTGATTTGTTAACAGATTAAACCAACTACAGCAGGAGCCACAAGCAAATCTGGTCGATCAGATCCAGAGTTTATAAACGGATGGGTAAAATAGTGTTACTACAATAACCCTGGTGACATATTGTTCCATTGTCTGTATTAACATTCATTTTTGATCATCTGTTCTGAAATTGTCTAAGAAAATCTAATTATATCAAAGTAGCTTTTTTTAAAAACTCACCTAAACTACAACAAAAACATACATCTTCACATTTACAGACTACATTAGAGAGTTAAAAATGACTGAAAGCCAACACTTAGGAAAGGAGTTGCTGTTTTACCTGTTGAATGTGTGTCTGCAGGGGTGTCGAGAGTCAAACAGTGGCCGCTGGAGACAATGGGGCGCTTTTTATGTGAGGTGGGTGGCGAGTGGGCAGCAGATATAACGTCTAGTCCCAAGAATGCGCTGGCAAGAGACCAAGCATGAAATATCACCTCCCCTGACACTGTGACAACACTAGGAAGTGTAATAATACATCATGAGCACTGCCTTAATGGTATTGTCCAGATATCGCCACTTGGTGAGTGAAAGTCTTATTTGGTCCCCCAAAATAGCAAGAAAAGAAATACATGAACTCATAAAACTTACAAATGATGACACCGTTGTATCTTCCAGGAAAGGAAATGTTTGAAATCTTGAGAAGTTCATATGTGCAGTTGGAGCCATCAGCAGTTTAGCTTAGCTTAGCTTAGCTTAGCATGAAGACTGTAAACAAGGACAAACAGCTAACCAGACTCTGTGTAAATATAATGAAATTGGCTAACTTGCACCTTTAAAGCCAGAAGTAATGGCTTTATTTTCAGTTTGCTTAAACCTTAGACAACCCCAAACAGAACTGTCAATTTATTACAAATGTAAGATTTATACTTTACACTTTAGTTTTTTGAGATATATGCTAAATTGTTAAATTAATACAACTAAGTTCATTTTGGAAATTAGGTGTGATGACAAACAGAAAAGGCAAAGTTTTTTTCTTTAAAGGGATTATTTACCGCGCCAACAAGGCAAAGATGTTGTTGAAGTCAGTCACGAGACAAAGGTTTACATCCAGATTCCCATTTATGGTTGAGTGTACACAACAATAGTTGTTTAACCCTCAAGAACCTCAACACCTTTCAGCAGGTTTGAAAGGCATTTAATCCCATGAAACTGCCAAAATCACACATTTGTCAGTCAGAAACTGTAAAAACAGAATCATTTGAGTTTCAGCTTCCCAACAGTCCTTGAACTGCTCTTCTGTGATGTGCTAGTCCATCAAAAAAACAAATATTGACACACTGAAAACTACATCGAGGCTAAAAATCATGACATTTATTCAAAATCACTTTATTCTACATGGCTCATCCAAAAGTTTGCCAAAAATTAATCGCAAATAGTGATGACCAACAGTTGCGTGACTTTTTGGCTGAACTGCAGGCTGTGTTTAAACAGAGCACAGACAAGACAAGTACAGGAATATATTCAACCTGTAAGGTTTTTTTGTTGTTTGTTTTTTCAAACAATTTATGGCATTAAAGCTGTCACACTGCACAGAAGAAATGTTTCTGTTCACTTTACTTCTTGTTATAGTTGTGCTGTTTCCATAGAAGTGCAGAACTTTATATTGAAGTGACAAATGAGCCAACAATGACTTAAAATGCTACAGGATCAAACAATGCTCAGCAGCTGCTTGGGGGTTTCAGAGGGTTAAGAACAAGCAAATGCTGTGGTTCCAGTTAGATGCTAATTAACGCCTTGTGTCTCATGTCATTGTGGACTTTGTATCACAGTCTAGTTCTCTTTGTTAACTACTGTAAACTAAACATGTAATCACAGTAATGACATCCATGGGGCCGAGATAAAGAGAGTCTATTCTTTTAGCAACAATGATGCGGTTGATGAGTTCAACAACCAAAGCCCTCACGGATGGCAAAAGCGCACAATCATACTCTAAGAATAGGTCATGGCCTCTTCCCATTATAGGCTGCTTTTAACAGCGGTAACACTATCAACACACAAGATCCAAGGAAATGATTGACCTCAATTAAGCTCCTTGGTGTTTATTTTCTGACCACTTCTCTGGTACTAAATCAAAAATGTAAGTATGCGACAGCAAAGGTTAATCGAATGAAGGGCATCCACCTGTATGGAAACCATAAAGTACCAATGCGGCTCTGATTTATCACAGAGGGAAGCGTGGAGTGTCATTATCGAGGCTAAATAACAGGAATTGGCTCGTATGACATTCAAACTGTTCTAATCACATGTATTATGATAAAAATACAGTTTGGTGTGATTATATATAATAACAAAATAATAAGTGGTTGTTCAATTTTGCCACTTTGGCTCTGAGTTCAGTGTAGGAGGGGTAATAGTGAGGAGGAGTAATAACAGGCTTAAATCGCTGCTACTGTGAAGGTCTATAATTTGAGTCGAACTGCATATGAACTGGGAGGACAAGTGAGGAAGAGGAAGAAGAAAACTTAAAATTCTGAACCAGAACACCAACTGAGTGATACGTGAAAATCATAAGAAAATATGACATCACATTCACATGTCACACGACAATGTCTACATCTGCTGAGGTGAAGTGAAGGTGAAGTGTTTACAGGAAGCTAAGTTTCTTAATATTAGAACATTACATGCAAAAAGCCTGAGGGGTTGTTCATTTGTTTATTGTGTCATTTTCCTTATAAAGTCAGGTAATGTAAATCTCATCCTTGGGGAGTTCTGGTTTTGGTGCTCAACACTGCAAAGATACATATTCATTTAAATTGTAAACTCTTGTGATGACAGTTGCTAATGGTTTTTCATGGGGCTGATGGGAGTCACATCAGATGAAACTGCAGTCTGTTGGAGACTCCTGTTCGATGTAAAAAACAAACAAAAACCCATATAGCTTTGACAACTGTTTATTGAAAGAAGGAAAAATCCTCCTTGATGTCACTCATAGGTTTTCCAAACAGTGAATTTAACAATCATTTTGACAGTATACCTGACTCCTTGTGTCTCCAAGCTAATCCCAAAAATGGACATTGACTTTCCTGTGACACCTGTCACTCAGAGTGGCCATGTCTTTAATTCTGCATATTTTGAACCTGAATCTAATTTAAATTGGTGACAGTTGTCATGAGCAGGGAAATAAGCTATTGACACTAAAACTGTTTCTTCCATCAGGCTGTAAACATGTTTATTTCTGCTGTAAAGTTGGACATTTAAACATGGAGGTCTATAGGGATTGACTGGCTTCTGGAGCCAGTCTCAAGTGGCCATTCACGGAACTGCACTTGAGCACTGGCTTCATTTTATTTATTTTTTTTTGCACTGGATGTTGTTGCTTGAATAAAACAGTCATCTACATAGAAAAATCCCAGGGAGCAGACTGACTTTATATGCTATAGCCTGCATTGAAAAGAACAAGGTGACCCAAAACGCTGCCCTGTGGAACTCCATATTTATCTGTGGATGCCATTAGTGGCAGCGTAATTCCAAACACTGATAAAATAAAAACTACATTTATTACAATGACTGAAGATGACTTATAGCTAGAAAATCACAATATACCTTTGTAATCATATTGTGTTTATTGCTGCACTGTTGAGCAATGAAACACACAACGCAACACAAGGGGCTGTCATCAACTTGGCTGCTGCAGCCTTGATTGACCTGGTATGAATTGTAGCTTAGTGTGGTTAACTTTAGCAAATGTCAGCAAACCTAAGATACAAATTGTTGAGATCCTGACATTACTGAGTTGCTTAAGTGACATTGTGAATGTTTATTTTTGTGCTACTGGTATACAACTTTTCAGCATTCATATCATTTCATCACTGTCAGTTGTGGCACCTCTCCAGTGTTCTCAGACCTCCTCTGACCTCCTTCTCTTATGTTTACATCTGTTTTATTATTTACATCTGCTGTCAACAATTCCTTGGCATGACCTGATAAAGATTTCCAAGCACGAGTGCTAATCTTGACCTGAGTGCTTACGCTTCTTGCAAATCACCTAACCCCGTAGCATCAAGTTTCTAATCTTTCCAGTGGCTTACACTGGAATAAAGCTGATGCAAGCGCTAAGATGTTTTCAGTAAACTGAGCATTAGCTGCAAGGACATCATTGCTAGAGCCACATGAAATGTCCAAGAGTCTGCGCTAAACCTTTGCTCTCTTGAGTTGTTGAGGATTCTCGGAGATCAGAAACGACTGTGATGAGAATGAGACTTGTCTGCAACAAGACCACCATGTCCAACGTTGAGTCATGTCTTGAGTTTGTTTCTGTGAATGGTTAACTGTGATTTTGACTTTAAATATCACGTTCCTTTTGGCATGTCTCAAAAAAACAGAGTATTAGGGATAGAAGGGTTAAAAATGTCAAAGGTGGGGGATGTCTAAGCTTCTGTTTTCTCACCATAGATTGATATTTTATTCCAGCCATCCCTTGCAAGATGTATGGTTTTAAACAATGATCAGATATCTGTAAATGATGGCTTTGCACTTTGCTATATGCAAATTGCAGCAATCCCAGCTCTGCAAAATCAGCTGGTAGCTAATAGGCCAATACATCAGAGTGAACAAAAGTAAAATACTCCGTATCTTTATGAGGATCAACGATTACACATCATCCCCTCCAACACTCAGAGGTCATATAAAGACTGTCCTTAATGATTCAAGTTCAGTATATTATGCTGGTTTCACTTCCACTTTGGTAAACTATAGATTTAGCAGCTCTTAATTTAATAATACTGATGAGAAATTTCACAGAGAATCTTAAATCTTTCTTTGTGCTAGTTATCAATAAAGACATTACGAGGTAAATGATTTTGCTGTATGATTTTTACGTTTGGGTAGGGGGTTTCCACATCCAAGTCAAGAGGCAACAACATTCATGAAATTATTACATCACACGCCTCCACGAGGAGTTTAAATTAATTGAATTTCCCAGGTTCTGTCAAGGAGCAAGAGGCAGATGAATATTCTCCTGACAGGCGTCCTCAAAGCCCCTGTTGTATTAGTGGATGAAACACCATCTAGCGTTGTTTTCAGCTGCTATGCAACAAAAAGAGAGCAAGAGCTAAAGAGACAACACCTCAACGAGCAACGAGAGGCAATAAAAGGAGGAAGACGCGAGGGACAACAAATGTTCTGTCATCATTTCTTTTTCTTTTTTTTTTTTTCTTTCAGTGATCCTCAGCAGGTGGGAGTGCTATTTCTGATGCAACCCAACTCCCTTCTGTTTCCACACAGACACATACACGTATATAAAAAAAAGGAAGGCCTCAGTATTGCTTGTAATGCACTTTCTCTTGTTGCTGCTTCATAAATCGGTAACGTTTGCGACGGAAAGAAAGAAAATAGAACGTCAGCTACAGCTGCAGTATTCTGTAAAGGAGGCG